AATAATTGAAATGTGACTGTATTTTAGAAAATACTAGTCTACTAAAACACAGCTAAGGTAAGTTATTTTGTATAGACCAAAAATCAGTTTTATGTTATTCGATACTGTAATAAGAGTGCATGTAAGTCGCGTTATTGCAACTTCTGTATTTTTAGCCAGGTATGACTGAAAGGTCAATATAAGAAATATATATAAATGTATAATGTTATGAGATTTAAGCTATTTAGTTTAAACATTTCTGTTTTCATGTTATAATTTGTATTCATTCTAGAATGAAAGAGGCATAATTTATATATATTTCCTAATTTTTTATGGTGGTAACAAGATCGATTAAATCTACTGAACCCATATGGATTCATTACTGAAAATAACAGATAAAATATTTTTTTTTCTTAATAAATGTTTGATAACTATCCGAACATTATAAAAAATGTGCATGTGAAATTTGAAAATTTTCTGATGCATAAAAGTATTTTTTATCTTAAAATGAAAATTACTTTGCATGATAGATAGGCAACATGCGAAAAAAAAAAGACATGATAAAAAAACATTGCCTTATAAACCTTAAGACTAAATAAAAACATTTTATATTTTAAGTATGAAAACAATGTAATGTTTACTGATAATCTGCCAAATTTTGTTAACATTCGCTTACTAATTTAAAAGTTATAGCATGAAAACTATAACAAGCACAAAATGGTTACGAGGTCAGTCCCAAGGACCTAGTCCGTGCTGAAAGAGTTAAACAAGTCATATCTGACTAAGTTAGTTGACACTGTTGTACTGTGTTCAACTACAATTTATTTACATTTTCTCATAATCAGGTTGCTAGTTGCACCATTTTTATTCAATGGTTATCTTACATCACTTACTATATGCTGAATACTCTTATAAGTAAGTGGAGAATGTTACTTAAGACCAAACAATTCTCATTGTTTTCAAGGTTCTCTAATCTATAATGTTTACTGGTATAAAAACATGTTGAGAAAAGCAACCAAATGTGGGACCTACCTTCAAAGTACGTCTGAGATCATTCACACTAATGAAACCTTTCTTTTCTTTGTCTATGGACTGGAATTGTTTAATGTACATTTTTATTTCCTCTCCGGTAAAGTTGATTTGAGCCATCTGTCTTGAGGCTTTGTTTACTTGCTGTCCCATTTCCTGCTGTAGAAATTCTAGAGCCAGTTCATGCTGATGCTGAAAAACAACAACAACCTTTTATGCAAACATTTGATAAAAGTCCGTGTAACAAGTTAATAAAGGGTTAAAAATAAAACCTTATGAATCACGTTAGAAAAAAGCGTTGCCAATTAAATAAATAACTAAAAACCATTTCCTACACAATTGTGAACCTATAAGATGCTTTATTTCCAGTTTTATACATCTAAAAACACAAAAGAACTACATTTTTTTCATTGATTTCTTGAGACTGAGCCTAATATTAGTTTGTTTGTTTCAGAATTTTCATGCAAAGCTACAAAAAAGGCACATAGCTGTCCCAAATTCTTAACTGATAGGGAAGACCATTAGTCAATAGTTTCACTACCAACTCTTGGACTATTCTTGTCTGAACAAGTAGTAGGATTTGACCATTACTTTTGTAACTCAACCAAGGTGCACGAACGTTTTTACCTCCTGGCCATACCCAACTTTTCTTCAACAATGTATTAAACATTTTATAGATTTTCTTTACATCCTAACTACTTCAAGCAGTGTTTATACATATTAAAATCAAGTCTAATCACTGATCTTTCTTGGCCTCCTCAAAAAATACTGTATTTACTGGTGTATTGCCCGATTATGCCACATTGACTTTTAAAGATCAGAATCTATTGTAAGATTACCATATGGCTCCACCAACCACAGGTACTTACTCAATCCTTTTTGAAAGTCAGTTAGAATATTAGATTTTTTCTCCCATATAGCTTCTACAAACAGTAGGGTCATAATAATAACAATTGTTATACAAACACAAACACACACACACAAAACTTGCTCATCTGTTTACTTAGAGAAAAACGAAATCTTGCAGCAAGTTCAACAATCTACCTCAAGTTAATTTTAGTATCATTATTAAGTCATCCTTTCGTTTAAAGAGTTTTCTCTATCTCTAAATACAGCCAACCAAAACTGCTATGACCTTATACATGTGGCTGCCTCTACGGGTAAAGCAATACGTCACATACATAGGGATTTTCTTAACAGTTGAAAAAGTATCTACCGCTAGTGACTTAGTAATTCACTTACATTACAAAAACATAAGCCATCTTTCCTGAGAGAAAAATTTCAAAATCTTATCACAGAATTCCTGACAAAAGAAAATATTCCAAAATTAAGTAACATCTGTCTCTTCCCATATTTATTTTTTCCAAATTCCTATGGCTGATTTTATTGTTCTCAGTTTTTTTTTAGGTTCATTCTGGTTATAAAACTTAGTTCTAATTTGTCTACATTTTTTAACCTTATGGCTGATTTTATAAACTCTTTCTTAAGTCTTCAGTAATCACTAACTACAGAGTAACAAAAACATACTGTTTCATGCACTTTGACTACATGTTACTGTGAACATTACAACACTATCCATCTGTCAAAAAATATGTTGGTTAATGGCTGAATAATAAAATGATAACAAACAGAAGGAAAACATCTAAAAAATCAGAATAATTTTAAAAACCAACACTTTAGGAAAATTAATGTGATGATTTTGGCAAACAAAATAAAACAACTAAAAGACATTAAGCAGATAAAAGTATTGTACTTCTAACTCTTTAAGTACTTAGGTGAATATTCTAACGGATGGTTGTGACACAGCATAGAGTGCTGTTTTACACTTGGTTCATACAAAGCACCATTTCACAATTTATCTAAGACGACTCATCTACATGTCTCAAAGGTTGGAGTCAACTCAGACACACGAGTTTGTAGAACTAAATACCAAGATAATTATACGTAAAAGAAGTTTGCAGCCACACTGCAGGTATATTTCAAAGAGTCAAGCCATAAAAGCATACAAATTCTTCTTTCCAAATAACCTATAACATGTGAATAACGAAGGAGTCATTTTGAAGATTATTGTAATCCTTCGTTTCAGGTTAAGTAGAAAGTTTAAGTTTTATTTCTAAAATTGAGTAAAAAATTTTAAATTCAAATGTCTCAACTCAACCTATGCTGAGTGATACAGGTTTGAAGTCCAGTGGAGTGAAAAAGCACCCCAGGTGTATACTGAAGGTTAATGTCACTTGTCGTAAATCATTTCAGCCACTGACATCTTTTCTCCCTTGCCCAGTTAATTTGTTTTTTTAAATTTAAGACAGTAGCAAAATTAACATATAAAATCTTAACTAATCAAAATGAGAAAAACAAACAACACATATATGCCTCGACATACAAGTCCGAACACTAGTGCTATATATATAACAATTTACTCTCCAATGATGGCTTTGTTAAGAAGTTTTCCAGCTTTCTTGATCAATATGTAATTATTCCTTTTTATAACCATGAAAGCTTTACGTTTCATCTCTTTTATTTTCTGTATTACTATTTTGTTACATTTTACCCCCAATTTTAAAAATCATAATGTGATCTTCTGAAAATTTGTCTGAATCTGATTTTAGGCATTCTTTTTGGACACAATAAAATACATTTTCCTGAAACTTTTTGGAGAATTTAAAGTTATAAGACTTACATCCAGAAGGTAAACACTGGTATAAATAAGAAGACAACAACAACAACAACAACAAAAAAAAAAAAAAAAAAAAGTTAGATGAAAACTACCTTTAACACATTTACTGGCACTGGATGCACAAATGCTTCCAAAGGTATGTTAGTCAGTGCCATCGACACATAACGTACGTCAATGAAAGCATTGAGGAAAATGCATTTTATTGGAGTGACCATGCATTAGAATACTAATATTATTAAAATGGTCCTAATCAAAACAAAAATCCAATGACGCCTGGCACGGGTATCAATCTTCAAAGCAGCACTGAGCGTGTGTTAAACTATGCAATGACCAGATACTCTTGATTTATCTAAAACAATTTCGATTTTATTCACATCCATTAGGTTAGGGTACAACTAACTGAATGTACAAATTTAAGATTCAGTATTGGGTTTAACCCTATCTCCCGGGTATCCTTTACTGCACATAACACAAGGTTTTAGTGTCTTAGATTCAAAATTTTATTAAACTACTTTTTATGTTATACCAATTAGAATAACATAAAATCTAAGCTAATAATCCATATTTGAATAGTATACAAGTTTTAAGTCCTTAATTCTACAATGCAATATTTAAAAAAATTCTGAATTTCCACTAGTGTGACCCACGTGACACATTTTCTATTAGCATTTCATCGTCCCTAATTTATCCATCCCCCCTCAAAAAAGTACAAAATTAAACATAAAATACTCTTTATAAAATCGTATTGCTCAAACAAACCATAATTTTTATAGCCTTCAATTTTGTTTGGTTACAGAGTTATCGGATAGAAAATCAGACCCCTCCTGCCACATCCTTTCTTTCACAGTTCATTGATAGTTCTCTCTTACGTTTCATTACATATTACTTATAACCAATAGAAAGTCAAGGTTTTCATCTATCAAATGATGTATTGTATAACATTGTGTTGTGAACAGAATATCATCAGTTTTACTCACAGTACAAGATTCATTCCCATGGGAAAGTTAACCTCTAGCTTGGATAAATTTGTAATGGTTCTTGTTGCATAGTTAGAAAGCCAGGAAAATTTTGAGAGGTAAGTGAATTTGTCTACTTTTTGCATGTTATTAGTCTATATTCTTTGTTGCATTATATAATTAAATAAAAATTATTAAGTGCATTACTATCTGTAGTATAAAAAATTAGGGTTAACTCTCTTTGAAAACCCGAGAGCAAGAAAAAAGAAGATTGGGCAAGTACTTTATTTCTTGTTTTTCATATTTATTCTTTATTATTATAAAAGTAACTAAAATCTAAAAATATGGATCTTTAGAAGTTATTTAAGACTTAAGGTAAAATAATTAATAATAATAATATAATTAAATAATACAAAATATATATACACTATATTGAAAGTTAGAAGTATTAAATCTATAAAGACTTACTGAGTACAAAGAGGTTACGTGGTCGGTCAAATTGACTGAGTCCGTGTTGAGAGAGTTAATAAAATATTTCTACTAAAAGTTTATATCTGAATTGAAGGAGTTTATCATATTAAAACAATATAAAAGGGTAAAATAACATTTATTGAAAAGAAACTATATTTATTACTAGCTGGAGTACCCGTCCCCTGGACAGAATATATGTAAATTCATGATTAATGAAAGGTTATCTTAACACATGAAAAGTTGCTTCTCTTATATGTAATTGTAGAAAACGCAAAAATGCCCATAAAACTGCAAGACACAAAATGTGAAACTGCAAGTTTGCATCTATCTCTGCATGGACCCTACAAACCTTCATGCCAAATTTGGTGAAGATCCATCAACATGGGGCAAAGTAGTGGTAAAAAACATAAAAATGCCCATAAAAACTGCAAAATGCAAAACTGAAAATTTTTATGTATCTTCCCATGGACCCAACAAACCTTCATGTCAAATTTGATAAAGATCCATCAACAGGGGTAAAGTAGTGGTGGAAAATGCAAAACCGAAAATTTATATGTATCTCCAACATGGACTTAATGAACCTCCATATCATATTTGGTGAAGATCCATCCAAAGGAGGTGAGGTAGTGCTACAAAACACCCTTAAAAACTGTAAAACGCAAAACTGAAAATTTGTATGTATCTCCCTACGGACCCAATGAACCTCCATACCAAATTTGATGAAGATCCATCTACAGGGGGTGAAGTAGTGGTAAAAAATGCAAAACCACCCATAAAAACTTCACAACGCAAACTAAAGATTTGTATTTACCCCACATGGACCTAATGAACCACCTTACCAATTTGGGTAAAGATCCATCCACACCCCATGAAGTAATTACATGGACATACAACAGAAAGTACTATTATATTTATATTGACATTCACCCAGAATACTGTTACTTAGCTTGACAAAAGCTTATTAAAAGCTTCTGAAAATCATACACCAAGTCCATCTACTGTCCAAATAACAAGCCAATTATTTGCCGTTTATGTAACGATTCATTATGATAAATACTACATACAGTATCGTTTTCTCTCATCTCTATAGATATAATAATCAAAATACAACAGATATGAATAAAAATTGAGAGAGTTACAGTGACATTGAGATTACTTTATCTGACCTTTTGTTCATTTTTATTCCACTGAAGTTCTTCAGCCATGATGGAAATGATTTTTGGAAGTGCTTCCTCAGCTGCTTGCACATTCAGAAAAGCCAACCGAAGTCGACGGGCTATTACATCCACTGCAGTACAAGCATATTCCCTGAGAGCATATCGAACCTGTCAATAACCAGGAGTTATTGTTAGCACCATTTTGCACTATCTTTAAATGTACCAAAGAGGTGGAATAAAGAATTTTTAAAATGGTATGCTATTTATGTAGAGGCAAGGATGTGTTACAAGGTGAGTCACAGGCCTATTTTTAAACAATCCATCTACATTTTGTGAAAGGTTTTTAAAATTTCTGTACAAAGCTACACAAAGGCTATGTGTACATAGCCATCCCTAATTTTTAGGTTTTAGACTTGAGGAGAGATAACTGACCAAACAGTGGTATTTCACTGTCACTCTTATAATGTACCCACAACCCCAAACTAAGTTTAAGATCTTAAGAAGAGCTAATGATGAATGGAACTTGCATATAAAAGACAGCTTGCTCACATAGAAATGGAGGCCTGAGATTAATCAAGTGGGCTCTGCATTTAAGTTACTTTTAGTACTATAAGGCCAAAAACCAGTTTAATAAAAGTCATAACTTTGCTTTGGAATAAGTTTGACTATGACTGAAATTTCAAAAAATGCAGAAAGTTAATACACAGATCATACTGTCTTATACCCTTACCTCAGCTTCAATATATGGAAATTCCTCATGTAATCTTCGTCCAACTATAGGCCAACGCTTCCCTGTGAGATTTGCCATTTTAGCAACAGTGAAAGCCCGATCCCCATACGTGTTAGCAAGATGCTGGGCAACCTAAGAAAATTAGCATGTTAGTCTTCTGTACCATAAAACACAATTCAATGACAGTTTAGTTGTGAAGTATTCCAGCATTACGTATTCTGATGTTCAACACGCTTAACTTCTGATCACAAACAAACTATCGCACAGAACCGCAAACACAATACAGTATATACACATGCATATATAATTGATGTAGCTTGATCTTAATCGTAACTATGGCTTATTTTCATAAGGAATGGTTAGAAATAGTTTTAATTACTGTGACGTTTAAACATCCTTTGTGTATTAATTAAGTAAATCTAATGTAAGCAGAAGTCGGTATAAGACACATTTGTGACTGTTTGTTGATAGACAAATACTCCAAAGCAATTTAAGTAGCTTAACTAACTGCAAACACAGTGACTCATGACCAAAAATAATCCACTGAAAATATTTCCTATACAATTATCAAGTTAGTGGTCATAGATAAGACATGTATTCGTAATCCTTTCCTTGTATTACTGGTTATCATCACCTACAGTAGTATCTATGTTGTAACTAACATATGAATAAAAAAGAAAAAAAGAAGAAATTTAGCTCACCCACTACAGAAGAAGTTTGTCAAGTTACTTATTAAAAAAACTGATTCTAAATGGTAATGTTTTAATACTTATTTCTAAGAATGCTATTTTATGATGTGAGCAAACTGGTTTAAATACGTGAACAGTTGCTAAAAGTCGTTCAGCCATGTTCAGTGATTATACTGCTTAGTAATGCATATGTAACAACCCATTCCATGTTGTGGTAACAACTGGAACTAGTTAAATGCACACTTCTGGAAATGGTACCTGCTCGTTTGACTCTGTAATTGTAAAGTGTAGTAACTGCTAGAGTACGAAGCAGGAGTAAATTTGCTTTGTTTGACAAATTATAACCAACTATGTTTGAAGTTAACTTTCAAAAACTTATGGCAATTAGTAAGTAGCTTAATATTTTTTCAGGCTAGCTGAAACACTGTTACAGATAAATCAGTTACATCTAAACTTGAACTGAATCCGCTGTTATAATGTAGAAAAATGATCCAATTGTAGATAGCCAAAAGCATGTCAGAAAGCAATACATGTTTGAAAGGCAACAACCAGTCTTAAGAACAACTTTTATGTTGAAAATAATTGTTTACAGTTAATCCTTCAAGCATCAGTGGATTTTATATGGACACTGTTAGCTTTTTAAAGCACCTTTTTTACACTATTTTTGCACCAAATAGTTTGTGGAACCATAACTTTGTTAGTTACAAGTTCCTTAATATCGTAAGAGCCACACAAAAAATTTAAACAAAAACACCATCAATACTGTAATTAATTCCATTAAGTATTGCTGAAGTTCCCTGTGTATTTTACAAAGAATTGTTTGTTTCTGTTTAATTTTACGCAAAGTTACTTAACCCTTTGAGTGTGTAATTAAATTTTGGGTGGGTTCTCGAAAAGTTTCAATTATTCACTAACAAAGGAAATTTTAAATTTGACTTTTTAGAACTTTTTCAATATCAAAATCCACTAGTTGCGCTTTTGATCGGCGATGTATGCACGCACGGTAATACGGCAGGAAATTCAAGGATGTGTGAATATCCTGATTATCAAACTATGAGGAAACGTTTTTGTGACACTGTGGGGTAAATCTGCTTGTGGCACCAAGAGGATATAAATGTCCAGTTGGATAAATCTTATTATAGCATCTAAAGGATAAAGAGCTGTCTACACTAGCTGTTCTTAGTTTAGAAGTAACAGACTAGAGGGAAGGCAGCTAGTCAATACCACCCACTGGCAATTCTTGGGCTACTCTAATTAAATACTGAATTTGACATCACTTAACGTCCCCACAGCAGAAAGGTAAGCATGTTTGGTGATGGGATTTATTTATACAGAAAGATGGTGATTTCACCCAGTTCTTTACACCGAGTGTTGTAACAGGCAAAAACATAAATTTATTCAATATAATTAATATGCATTCCCCACCAGATGTAAACTATGTAAAAATAAGTTGGAAATTTGTGAGTGAAGCATGCAGTTGCCTAGGTGGAAATGACTACAACCTGACCAACCAATAAGAAACCTTCTAAGTTCAGTTTATTTTCTGACTCTTTACTAACTTCTATCTAATTGTCATAAAGAGCATGTGTGCATCCCTTTCTAAGTTATGTTTTTGGGTTTTTACTTCATCCTCTATCTAATTATCATAAAGAGCATGTGTGCATCCCTTTCTAAATTATTTTTGAGTTTTTACTTCATCCTCTATCTAATTATCATAAAGAGCATGTGTGCATCCCTTTCTAAGTTATGTTTTTGGGTTTTTACTTCATCCTCTATCTAATTATCATAAAGAGCATGTGTGCCATCCCTTTCTAAATTATTTTTGAGTTTTTACTTCATCCTCTATCTAATTATCATAAAGAATATGTATACATCTGATTCCACATGACTTTTCTGTCTTTTTACTTCATCCTCTATCTCACAATAATAAAGAGCACGTGTACATCTCTCCTTTCTCAATAGTCTGCTTGCTGCTGCCCTTGAAACTAACTATGTTTTTTTTTTAATGCTGCATATTTTATTCTATAGTTCAGTGATCTATATTTTGACAGCTTGTTTACAAAATTCCTGTCCTCTTTCACAATACAAAATGCAATTATTGGATCATATTCTGCAACAAATTAACATTATTAATTTTATTTTCTTATAAATCTTGGTTTTGCCACATATATTTTAGTAAAAAAATTACATGGCAAACTAACCAATTAGTCAACAATTAATTGCATGTATTTCATACAAGAATAAAGATTGCTCTGTGAGAAATAATATTTCAACATTGCCGTTTTGCTCTAAATCACAGCAAAAAATGCATTTGTACAATTATGAAACAATGTATATGGAAGCTTTGGCTGGCTTGTTCTTTTTTGTTATTCATTTATATAAATATATATATCAATATTAGTGCTGAAATTTAGATTATTAAAAGATTTTGTTGCCTGATGGTTGACACTCCTCAAAAAAAGAGCATTACTTTATTTAGTCATTTTTAAGAATGTTCTAGAAACTTCATTTTAACTTTCTATAATATTAACTCCATGTTGAAGGTATTTTCCTTAAGAAAATATAATACTGTAATTATCCCCTAGAAAATTAGGCACATTCTTAGTTGCTAAGGTTGTTATTTGGTGGAAAATGGGCAAAATAAGTAGTATTAATGAAATTATTTGTTCTCTGATACTGGAAAAAAATGCCCAAAATGAGCCTTTTTCAAAAGAGTATTGTGATGAAAAGTGAATATCAATTTGTCATACATCCCATATTATATTGTGTATAAAATTATAAAGTATTTAGGTTTTTCATAATTCTATACAAATGTTTAAGTATGGGATGCAGTTACCACAACACAGGATTACTTCCTATTTCTGAATATTTTATTGTGAAACGAGTACACAATCCCATAAAAATATAACGATTTATTAATACATCCTGTAAAAAACCATTTGTCTTTCCTGATTTATAAAACAATTACTTTTAAGAAAAATATCTAAACCAAAAAATCATATGTACTACCTAATAAACGTTCTGGAGAAATCAACATTCACTGCATACAAAGTAATTAAATAGATACATTTTAGTTTTGTTTGTACCGTTTCATTAATTCTTAGTGCAAAACAAAAAATATAATAGATTTCATTATTACCAACATTTATATAACTTTTTGTTAAATGACTAAAACAATTTCTTCCAGAGATACACTGACGACAATGGCATTGGATGCCTTCAAAACTGAACTTAAAACCAAGCTTTACCTCATTTTCTAGACCAAAATCTTGAACAAGTCGTATAAACATGGTTGGTGACCAGCCATGGGCTCCTTCCAGTAGCAGCCCATCAGTTTGGCAATCATATTTAGGTTTTAAGTTGCTTGCTTTGATAGCTGCATCAACCGTCTCCTTAGCCATGACTCGATACGTAGTCCACTTTCCACCTACAAATAGAAAGAAACAACAGCAGCACGAGTAAAAGAATATAGCACTGTGAAATATACACGAAAGCAGACAGTAAATATATATATTTTAATAGTCAACAATATCTTTCTGTTTCAATATTTTATAATTTGCTAGCATCAGACACTCATCACTCTACCAGCTGCAACTGGTGTTGTAAACTGGCAAAGAGAAAATCCCACTATTTGCCATAATTACAATGGAATCTACAAATCTTCTTGCTAAATTTATATTCTTTTCTCTTTGTTTCATCTTTCCCCTACTGATTGCTTCATTATAATTTGCAAAACCTTCAAGACCCTCACAGAATATGACTATGATCAAAATCTGATCAGACATAGATATGAAAACTAGTGACCAGATTAATCGGTGAAAAGGATTTATCCCCTTCCCTGTCTAAGGTAAGAAGAATCGATCTGAGGAAATAGAGAGAATGAGAAAGCAGCCTGTGGACAAACAGTGCAAATCACTCTGACCGGTGATGTTTGTAGGGCAGCGGACACAAAAAATAAACCTTCAGGTAAAGAGGATACATGGCATATAAAAGTCAGGTCACAAAAGTGTTAAGAAAAAGCATACAATGTAACCTTAATATACGTGTTAGGTAAATGGAACAGTCCTTTGTGACCAAGGACCTAAAGCGACTTGAGGAATCCAGAGAGTACTGGGAACTCAAAGAATATGTAGTCACGAGAATCTGACTGGTTACTGCTGGCACCATCTCGATCTAACATGGTACAACTGGCTATCCAGAAGCTCAAGCTTCAGACATAGAGGTTGTGCAGTCTTTCGCACAGCATCAGGGTTTAATTTCTAAGGTTGCCATTATCTGGCTCAGTTTTTGCTTAGTCCCAAGATGAACATTTATCAATGGAAATGAAATGCATATCGACAGTGGTGTATTGAAAGGAAGTTGAACCCACTTCATACCTCGTTTTTTTTTACCTGGCTCTTCAGCAAAGGTTTTTGCATCTTTCACAATTGCCCTATTTAAGGTAGCCTTATTGACTACTATTTTTCATGGAATGGTATGTGCACAGTGCGATGGAATGGAGGTGAGAAAAAAAACTTGTATGATACAGCAGAGCCCACGTGAAGCCGATGCGAGTACATAGATAAAAACCCAGAATTGCAGTACCTGATCCTTGTGTACAACAAACACCAACAGTGGTGAGGCTCCATCACTATGGCAATCTGCAGATAGGGGCCGTCTACAACAAACTTGGACATCTACAATCCCAGTAAACAAATTTAAACTCAGATAGAGGAATGAGTAACTTCTGAACCTTGGAGAACCTAGGCATTGATATAAACGAGAATAATTGATGACTGGACACCAATCTCCTGTCTTCATAGGCCCAACAACCGACAGGAATAAAACCTCGGAAGAACTAGCACGACTCTCTCACTACCCCAAAACCAACCAAACTCTGATAGCCCTAGAACTAAGTTCCAAATCCAGATGATCTGCAGGAGACATAAGCCCTAATGATTGGGTGGATAATAGTGATGAAGATGTGAACTGAATGACTAATCCTGACTCAAGGACCTGCAGTGCTCCTGGATCCAAGCCCAAACAGACCTTGAAGGTATGCAATAATCACCAATGCCACTGGTGGTGATCCAATCAAGTAGCAAAACCATTGGATATAGACAGAATCTATTCTGGGTACCAATGTACCGAGGGGATGATGTCAGGGGCAGAACTATGACTCCCTGCAGAAGCCGGTGAAAATCAAGACCTCAGCAACAATAGGGATGAATATAGAAGCCAATAATTGAATCAACGTGCATGCTAACAATGGATACAGCTCATCATCAATGAAGTTGGTGATCCTGAGAGTCTTCCAACAAACTGAAGTGAAAAGAAAAGAAAATGTTGGATTGTAGAGTTGTAAGTCTACAGACTTACCCTGTCCCACAAGGGGACATTGATCTATTCAGATTAACTACAAACTCCTCCTTAGAACCCCAAATTCTAGGAGCATATGTATTATTTGACAGTCAGAAAATGCTCCCACCTTGAGGTGGTAGGCTAAATCACAAAGTTATGACAATCATTTCGGATAAGGTATATATCTATACCTATACGTAACTGAGAAGTAAACCTTCCAGCATGAACTAGAATATTTGTGGATGGAAAGAAAACTAAAAAATTCACCCCCAGACCTTTCAGCCATCAAGTAAGGTGCAGGCTCAAAATCCACAGGGGAAAGGGCCCAAAACATCCCACTCTCGATGAACCAACAGATGAAAACAAATCAAAGGCAGCTTATCCCAAAGTGGCCTCCTTTTCATTTCTATAGGTCACATAGAGACTGTGTTTATTACCATTCATTGGAACAACATTTTGCCAGGTAACTTTGTTTTGTTAGAGCAAAGCAAAATTAGGCCATCCATTGAGTTCACCATAGGGAATCGAACCCCAGACCCCAGTGCCGCGAGTCCTCAAACTCATCACTATACCACAGGGGGACTGAAAAACCAACAGACTAGAAGAAAGTGCAGGAAAAAGTGAATCTAAGTTCTCCTCAGAATGTCAAGGATCACCTTCAATTGCAGCCTCAGAGCCCCCTGGAGGAACACCATAGACCAGAATATATGTCTCTATCTCACTATGTATAAGATCACTGACAATCTCAACCAAAAGTGACCCCCCCAAATTTGTTTTTAATTATTAATATTATAATGAAAATAAACTAGATAACACATATAACATTCAAAGTATCCCCAAAAGATCGTAATACTGGGGAACCTGTTAGTGACTCTTTGTTGAGAAAAAGTGATAACATTTTATGAATGATGTGCTTATATACATACCAGGATAGTGTGTGCAGGTAGATAGGGTCATGAGATAAATATTGCCAAGAACAACTGAATGGGGTTTAAAAGACTGAAGTAAGCAAGAAAAAATCAGACCAATGCTTAGATGGGCATAGGAGTAATAGCTATCAGTGTAAGTACGCTTTGGAAGAAAGCATTTACAGGAAACCTAGAGAAATATATTATTTTATACACCTATGCTGTTAACATTCAAATTTAATTGAAGCTAAATTTAAGTTATAATGTTCTTTCTTATTGGAATTCTTTTAGATTAGCTGTACAGAGACCAAATGAAAACGAACGCCTACAAAAAGCTTCTACTGTTGACAATATGAAAGTCAAGGACGCTATTATTGCTCAGATGAGCAACTGTCATAGGCAAAAATAACATTGCTACATAACTATGACACTTACAAAGTAGCAAGTATTAAAAGTAAACTTATCAAGTGTTACAGTTATTACTACGTACATTAAATATTTTTTATTGTTTTAAATATTCTAGTTAGCAGTAATTTTATTTCAATTATTGAAAAGATCAATTAATAAGCTGATTTATGGTATTTGATACGATTTAGTTTATTTCATTTTTTGTGTTCAATAAATGGGTGCTTGTTACATAAAACATTAATAAAAATGAAGTGAAATTCTGGCTTTAAACTACAACAGTCGTACCTCCAATTGTTACAAGACCACTATCACTCGAATGAATCACATGATTACGTGCAATCGACTCTGTGTTTTCTTTCTTCGGATCCAGGATGAGAGGTCGGATTCCTGCCCATGCTGATAGTACATCTCCTCTTCTAACTGTCAAGAGTGGATCGTAAACAATTCATTCCTAATTTTAATTATCTTGAAACGTTAACACTTGTTTAAGCCAATGAGTATACAAACACTGAACAACTATCCACTCAAGGGACTATTGAATACAATTTAAAACATGATTCTCAAAACTTTTCTTTCCTAGTGTTCCTCATTAAAATCATCTGTAGGAGGTCACACATTTTGTATCTTTTTACTTTACTAATTACTGAGTTTATTAGAAACAAGTAAATTTAAGAATTACATCATGAAACTAAAAGTGTAGTAAAACTTCTGTTGAACTATATCAAAAATTCCTATATAAATCAGAACAATTAATTTAGTATATGATGCAGCTAATTAATACATATTTTTAATAAATATGCAGGACTTTATTCAAAGTCATGAAATAATCAGGTTTAGTTTATTATAAATAAAATAAATATGTGGCAGGAGCATATGAAAGCAAATTACATTTATTTATTACAAAAAATACCATAGATAATTTCAAACTTTCCTCGAGGCCTTGCAAATTAAAATAACAAAAAGCAATAGCACTGAGTATTTAACTAAAACACTCTTCCCTGGATTAGTCTACAAGCCAATAGCTTCAAGTTGTAATGTCGAGACATGTAGAGTCAACACTTCTGTTTGGATTGATTTCAACTGTGTGCAATGTGTAAAGCTACACAAGGGCTATCTGCACTAGCTGTCCCTAATTTAGAAGTGATAGGTTAGAGGGAAGGCAGCTAGTCAACACTGTCCACTGCCAACTCCTGGGCTACTTTTTTACCAGTGAGTAGTGGGGTTGATCATAACATTATAATACCCCCAGAGCTAAAAAGATCAGTATATTCTGTGACAGGAATTTGACCGGTGACTCTCAGAGTGTGAGTCAAGCACCCTAACCACCAAGTCATGCCATCAACTTTTTGGAGGCCATAGACTGGACTTAATTAAGAGTGTTTTTAATTGTGTACTCCGTTTAACATTGCGAGTTATTTATCATTTTAGCTTCAAGTCATTTTCTTGTGTTTAGTGCACTTACGTATTTAAAAAAGAACAATACAAATTCCAGATTTGTATTGTCTGTTTACTTTTGACAACAAAATTGTTCTGTGGCTCCATCTATAATCTAAAACTATAGGTACCTTTTCTGTTTTATTACCAGTTAAATCTCTTGAATGCGTGTATCTGTATACTGAATGGTTACAAGTAAATAGACACCTAATTTTTCATCATTTAACTGATTTATGCTAACTAATTTGTGTTCATAAAGCACTATATAAATGAAAATGGTACGCACACTAATTATCTTGTATTACAA